AGTAGAAAGTACAGGTATTTGTGTTCAACATGTAAGAAGTAGAAAGTGCAGGTATTTGTGTTCAACATGTAAGAAGTAGAAAGTACAGGTATTTGAGTTCAACATGTAAGAAGTAGAAAGTGCAGGTATTTGGGTTCAACATGTAAGAAGTAGAAAGTACAGGTATTTGAGTTCAACATGTAAGAAGTAGAAAGTGCAGGTATTTGTGTTCAACATGTAAGAAGTAGAAAGTACAGGTATTTGAGTTCAACATGTAAGAAGTAGAAAGTGCAGGTATTTGGGTTCAACATGTAAGAAGTAGAAAGTACAGGTATTTGAGTTCAACATGTAAGAAGTAGAAAGTGCAGGTATTTGTGTTCAACATGTAAGAAGTAGAAAGTACAGGTATTTGAGTTCAACATGTAAGAAGTAGAAAGTGCAGGTATTTGGGTTCAACATGTAAGAAGTAGAAAGTACAGGTATTTGAGTTCAACATGTAAGAAGTAGAAAGTGCAGGTATTTGTGTTCAACATGTAAGAAGTAGAAAGTGCAGGTATTTGTGTTCAACATGTAAGAAGTAGAAAGTACAGGTATTTGAGTTCAACATGTAAGAAGTAGAAAGTGCAGGTATTTGGGTTCAAACATGTAAGAAGTAGAAAGTACAGGTATTTGAGTTCAACATGTAAGAAGTAGAAAGTGCAGGTATTTGAGTTCAACATGTAAGAAGTAGAAAGTACAGGTTTTTGAGTTCAACATGTAAGAAGTAGAAAGTACAGGTATTTGTGTTCAACATGTAAGAAGTAGAAAGTGCAGGTATTTGTGTTCAACATGTAAGAAGTAGAAAGTGCAGGTATTTGTGTTCAACATGTAAGAAGTAGAAAGTACAGGTATTTGAGTTCAACATGTAAGAAGTAGAAAGTACAGGTTTTTGAGTTCAACATGTAAGAAGTAGAAAGTGCAGGTATTTGTGTTCAACATGTAAGAAGTAGAAAGTACAGGTTTTTGAGTTCAACATGTAAGAAGTAGAAAGTACAGGTATTTGTGTTCAACATGTAAGAAGTAGAAAGTGCAGGTATTTGTGTTCAACATGTAAGAAGTAGAAAGTACAGGTATTTGAGTTCAACATGTAAGAAGTAGAAAGTGCAGGTATTTGGGTTCAACATGTAAGAAGTAGAAAGTACAGGTATTTGAGTTCAACATGTAAGAAGTAGAAAGTGCAGGTATTTGAGTTCAACATGTAAGAAGTAGAAAGTACAGGTTTTTGAGTTCAACATGTAAGAAGTAGAAAGTACAGGTATTTGGGTTCAACATGTAAGAAGTATAAAGTACAGGTATTTGAGTTCAACATGTAAGAAGTAGAAAGTACAGGTATTTGGGTTCAACATGTAAGAAGTAGAAAGTACAGGTATTTATGTTCAACATGTGAGAAGTAGAAAGTACAGGTATTTGAGTTCAACATGTAAGAAGTAGAAAGTACAGGTATTTGAGTTCAACATGTGAGAAGTAGAAAGTACAGGTATTTGTGTTAAACATGTAAGAAGTAGAAAGTACAGGTATTTGAGTTCAACATGTAAGAAGTAGAAAGTACAGGTATTTGAGTTCAACATGTAAGAAGTAGAAAGTACAGGTATTTGGGTTCAACATGTAAGAAGTAGAAAGTACAGGTATTTGAGTTCAACATGTAAGAAGTGGAAAGTACAGGTATTTGAGTTCAACATGTAAGAAGTAGAAAGTACAGGTATTTGAGTTCAACATGTAAGAAGTAGAAAGTACAGGTATTTGAGTTCAACATGTAAGAAGTAGAAAGTACAGGTATTTGAGTTCAACATGTAAGAAGTAGAAAGTACAGGTATTTGGGTTCAACATGTAAGAAGTAGAAAGTACAGGTATTTGAGTTCAACATGTAAGAAGTAGAAAGTACAGGTATTTGAGTTCAACATGTAAGAAGTAGAAAGTACAGGTATTTGGGTTCAACATGTAAGAAGTAGAAAGTACAGGTATTTGAGTTCAACATGTAAGAAATAGAAAGTACAGGTATTTGAGTTCAACATGTAAGAAGTAGAAAGTACAGGTATTTGGGTTCAACATGTAAGAAGTAGAAAGTACAGGTATTTGTGTTCAACATGTAAGAAGTAGAAAGTACAGGTATTTGAGTTCAACATGTAAGAAGTAGAAAGTACAGGTATTTGGGTTCAACATGTAAGAAGTAGAAAGTACAGGTATTTGAGTTCAACATGTAAGAAGTAGAAAGTACAGGTATTTGAGTTCAACATGTAAGAAGTAGAAAGTACAGGTATTTGGGTTCAACATGTAAGAAGTAGAAAGTACAGGTATTTGGGTTCAACATTTAAGAAGTAGAAAGTACAGGTATTTGAGTTCAACATGTAAGAAGTAGAAAGTACAGGTATTTGAGTTCAACATGCGAGAAGTAGAAAGTACAGGTATTTGAGTTCAACATGTAAGAAGTAGAAAGTACAGGTATTTGAGTTCAACATGTAAGAAGTAGAAAGTACAGGTATTTGAGTTCAACATGTAAGAAGTAGAAACTACAGGTATTTGAGTTCAACATGTAAGAAGTAGAAAGTACAGGTATTTGAGTTCAACATGTGAGAAGTAGAAAGTACAGGTATTTGAGTTCAACATGTGAGAAGTAGAAAGTACAGGTATTTGTGTTCAACATGTGAGAAGTAGAAAGTACAGGTATTTGTGTTCAACATGTGAGAAGTAGAAAGTACAGGTATTTGTGTTCAACATGTGAGAAGTAGAAAGTACAGGTATTTGTGTTCAACATGTGAGAAGTAGAAAGTACAGGTATTTGTGTTCAACATGTGAGAAGTAGAAAGTACAGGTATTTGAGTTCAACATGTAAGAAGTAGAAAGTACAGGTATTTGTGTTCAACATGTGAGAAGTAGAAAGTACAGGTATTTGAGTTCAACATGTAAGAAGTAGAAAGTACAGGTATTTGAGTTCAACATGTAAGAAGTAGAAAGTACAGGTATTTGAGTTCAACATGTAAGAAGTAGAAAGTACAGGTATTTGAGTTCAACATGTAAGAAGTAGAAAGTACAGGTATTTGAGTTCAACATGTAAGAAGTAGAAAGTACAGGTATTTGTGTTCAACATGTAAAAAGTAGAAACTACAGGTATTTGGGTTCAACATGTAAGAAGTAGAAAGTACAGGTATTTGAGTTCAACATGTAAGAAATAGAAAGTACAGGTATTTGAGTTCAACATGTAAGAAGTAGAAAGTACAGGTATTTGGGTTCAACATGTAAGAAGTAGAAAGTACAGGTATTTGAGTTCAACATGTAAGAAGTAGAAAGTACAGGTATTTGAGTTCAACATGTAAGAAGTAGAAAGTACAGGTATTTGAGTTCAACATGTAAGAAGTAGAAAGTACAGGTATTTGAGTTCAACATGTAAGAAGTAGAAAGTACAGGTATTTGAGTTCAACATGTAAGAAGTAGAAAGTACAGGTATTTGAGTTCAACATGTAAGAAGTAGAAAGTACAGGTATTTGAGTTCAAAATGTAAGAAGAAGAAAGTACAGGTATTTGAGTTCAACATGTAAGAAGTAGAAAGTACAGGTATTTGAGTTCAACATGTAAGAAGTAGAAAGTACAGGTATTTGAGTTCAACATGTAAGAAGTAGAAACTACAGGTATTTGAGTTCAACATGTAAGAAGTAGAAAGTACAGGTATTTGAGTTCAACATGTGAGAAGTAGAAAGTACAGGTATTTGAGTTCAACATGTGAGAAGTAGAAAGTACAGGTATTTGTGTTCAACATGTGAGAAGTAGAAAGTACAGGTATTTGTGTTCAACATGTGAGAAGTAGAAAGTACAGGTATTTGTGTTCAACATGTGAGAAGTAGAAGTACAGGTATTTGTGTTCAACATGTGAGAAGTAGAAAGTACAGGTATTTGTGTTCAACATGTGAGAAGTAGAAAGTACAGGTATTTGAGTTCAACATGTAAGAAGTAGAAAGTACAGGTATTTGTGTTCAACATGTGAGAAGTAGAAAGTACAGGTATTTGAGTTCAACATGTAAGAAGTAGAAAGTACAGGTATTTGAGTTCAACATGTAAGAAGTAGAAAGTACAGGTATTTGAGTTCAACATGTAAGAAGTAGAAAGTACAGGTATTTGAGTTCAACATGTAAGAAGTAGAAAGTACAGGTATTTGAGTTCAACATGTAAGAAGTAGAAAGTACAGGTATTTGTGTTCAACATGTAAGAAGTAGAAACTACAGGTATTTGGGTTCAACATGTAAGAAGTAGAAAGTACAGGTATTTGAGTTCAACATGTAAGAAATAGAAAGTACAGGTATTTGAGTTCAACATGTAAGAAGTAGAAAGTACAGGTATTTGGGTTCAACATGTAAGAAGTAGAAAGTACAGGTATTTGAGTTCAACATGTAAGAAGTAGAAAGTACAGGTATTTGAGTTCAACATGTAAGAAGTAGAAAGTACAGGTATTTGAGTTCAACATGTAAGAAGTAGAAAGTACAGGTATTTGAGTTCAACATGTAAGAAGTAGAAAGTACAGGTATTTGAGTTCAAAATGTAAGAAGAAGAAAGTACAGGTATTTGTGTTCAACATGTAAGAAGTAGAAAGTACAGGTATTTGGGTTCAACATGTAAGAAGTAGAAAGTACAGGTATTTGTATTCAACATGTAAGAAGTAGAAAGTACAGGTATTTGGGTTCAACATGTAAGAAGTAGAAAGTACAGGTATTTGAGTTCAACATGTAAGAAGTAGAAAGTACAGGTATTTGAGTTCAACATGTAAGAAGTAGAAAGTACAGGTATTTGGGTTCAACATGTAAGAAGTAGAAAGTACAGGTATTTGAGTTCAACATGTGAGAAGTCAAAGTAAAAAGTTGTCAGAAATAAATAAGTAGTGGAGTAAAGTACTGATACCAGAAAAATGTACTTAAGTCCAGTAACAAAGTATTTGTACTCCACTACTTCCAACCTCTGTGTGTGCAGGTGTGTGTGTGCAGGTGTGTGTGTCTCACCTGCTTCCTCATGACGTCAGTGGCCTGCAGGATGCAGCGGGGGGGCAGGCCGTGGTTTCGGGCCAGCAGGATGGATTGTTCCAGAGTCACACTGAGGGTACAGCTGAGGGAACAGAGAGGAAGCACATGCTGTTACTCTGCAGAATAATGCTCCTCTTAGTGCAGACTTCTCTTATACCAGGAAACCTATACATCTTCAAAGCCAAGTCAAAGTCAGCTTCATTGTCAATCTTCCAGTTTGTGAGAGATCGAAATACCGCTTCCCACAATCCAGAATACAATCTTCCTACTGTACCTTTAAATCAGTCTTTATCAGACACTATAATGTGTTGTTAGTTCAGATTTGGGAATACAATTCTGTCAAAACATATCTTACTGTTTTGCACACACTGTACTAAAGCTTCGTTTTTGACTGAAATAACATCTTATAGCGACCAAACCAACTTAAACTCATTCACTTCAAAATGCAACGAAATGATTTAGACTTTCAGGAAGCAGACTGTGAGTAAAAACCATAGGTGCCTATTTCAGTTCTAATAACTCTCCTCTACCACCACTATCTGCATCTACTGCGTTAGGTTGACCCCTTACAGCTTGGAGGTTGCTTAGAGTGACCAAAACCAGTAAGTCATTCATCTTCTAAACATTCAAAGACATCACTCCACACCACAGGAAGTGCACAAAAGCCCTAGGAGGCTCTCCTCTGATACCACTATCTGCATCGTACTGTTTTTAATAAACAACAAAAACCTCAGAGCATCAAACAAAACGCAGACGAGGGCTTGGATCGTGCAAAACGACAAGTCTGCACTTTCACAGATAAAACACAATCAGGGACGTTTCAGGCGCGTCGTTCCCTCTGATTACGCCAGGCGTTGAGAGTTCGTTGTGTCGCTTAATGGAGGTCTATGGTCAAAATACACCTTTGTGAATGTCTTCTAAATGCGCCATCTGTTAGTCAAGATGTTTCTTCATGCGTTTCTGAAGCTGCAGAACGTTTCTTTCTGGACGGGTTTCGGTTTGTTGTAGCGCTGCTCCAATATCACCAATCATATCGCGATGTTAGTCACAACGAACACAATAAGCTATTTCTGAAATGGAAAACCCAAAAACACTTTGAAGACTTTACGCTTATCTTTGTGTCCTCCTAAGGATCAATGCTTCTCCTGAGGCAAAGGCGTGTCTGTGAGTGTGTGTGACAGTGACTCAGCAGATTCTCACACACACACACACTTCCTCCTCCTCTCTGTTACAGAATGAGGAGAAAACCCTGAGCGCTGACCTTCCTCTGATGACGAGCTGCTCTCGTACATGGACCCTCCAGCCTCTCTCTCGCCTGCTGGGAAATGAGCTGTTTGATCTAAACTCTCACGCTGACTGAGGACACAACGTAGCTGAAGGAAAGCTGCAGATGTGGAGCTTGTTGCTGCCAGAAGCCATCACTGGGACTCAACCAGAGGAGGGTCTCAACCAGAGGAGGGTCTCAACGCCCCTGGAGTTGCATAACTTCATGAGCACGATGTGATCAAAGTAATGAACTCAATCCCAACATATTTCCCCGACTGCAGGAGAACGTTCTTAAGCAGCATTTAGAGGTTCACACACACCGATAGAAGGAGGAGAAATGTCCCACAGCGGATCTTTAAATATCTCTTCAGCTGGAGCACCATGATGTGTGTGTGTGTGTGTGTGTGTGTGTGCGTGTGTGTGTGTGTGTGTTTTCCACTTTTAGAATCATTTCCACGTGCCTGCTCACATTTTTCTGCTAGCGGCTGGATTCCTGTGTGTTTTGAAGGAGAGCGTGTGTGTGTTGTTGTTGTTCTAGCATGTGTGTGTTGAGGTGTGTGTGTGTGTTGTTGTTGTTCTAGCATGTGTGTGTTGAGGTGTGTGTGTTGTTGTTGTTCTAGCATGTGTGTGTTGAGGTGTGTGTGTGTGTTGTTGTTGTTCTAGCATGTGTGTGTTGAGGTGTGTGTGTGTTGTTGTTGTTCTAGCATGTGTGTGTTGAGGTGTGTGTGTTGTTGTTGTTCTAGCATGTGTGTGTTGAGGTGTGTGTGTGTGTGTGTGTGTTGTTGTTCTAGCATGTGTGTGTTGAGGTGTGTGTGTGTGTGTGTGTTGTTGTTCTAGCATGTGTGTGTTGAGGTGTGTGTGTGTGTGTTGAAGTGTGTGTGTGTTGTGGTGTGTGTGTGTCGAAGTGTGTGTGTGTTGAGGTGTGTGTGTGTGTGTGTGTGTGT